TATAAGTACTTAATCATGTCAGTGCTTACGTGTTGCTATAATAAAATACGCTACCTATAGTCATAAGGTAACGGAATTTAGAATTTATTCTAAATTTAGATTAGTAGTTTATAAATCGTTATAAGTATGAGCAAATCGATCCTAAGCTAGGTATTACACATTATTATTATGTCGCCTTTGAAAACCTTCAACCTGCATTGAGAAAGATTAGAAAATTTTGCATATAATCCAATAAGGACGTCGATTTATTGCGTTCTCTTCAGTATAGCTTATAATAGCAACCTGTTGCATGGCTGATTCAGGTAGTGACCTAGATGGCTGTACTCAAATTTTTCTTTCGTGCGGAAACTGCGGCCGGGTGTATGATACTTGGTGGATGTAAAAGCTAAACCTACACTGGATGGAACTGGATGTTATGTACGTCACAACATTGATGTGATTTTTCGTACATTCACTATTGAAGGAGTGATAGAGGACTTATATGACACAGATACTTTACTGATATATTTACACATATCAGGTACTCATTGTCACAACACAAGTACTTAAATTTAAATTATGTATACCTACATATACTGAACATTACATTTTTAAACATCTAATATACTTGTTTTTAAAATAAAATTTCGAAATTTAAAAACAAACAAAACACCATTTGCAAAGAGTTGCTATTTCTCGGTTTTATCCCTAGACGTAATTATTATTTGAAACGAAAATTGCATTATTTTCGTGAAATGAGCCTGCACCCTGCAAGCTTATAAAGCTGCAATCTTACAGCTTCCTCGAAGAAAATTAGAAAGGCGCGCGAAATAGCTAGTTAAGGTAGGCGACAAATTCGGTTCTCGAACTGTTAATGAACATAAATAATACATTTTTTTCTAAGGATTCCCATCAACCCAAAACAAACACATTTCCTTACAATTTTTGTTCATTTTAATGATTAATTTAATTGAAAATATGTGTTAATTAAAAATTGTTGTAAGATAAAGAAAAACATTAATGGTATTGTCTAGTAGAACGATACCTAAATAACAAAACCGGGAGAATCTCGACGGAGATCAATACAATTCGGCGCCAGTTAGTTCCCCAGATAAAAACCAACTTCTTCCTAAAATGACCACGTTGAAATTAAATATAATATTAAAGCTATTGTGAACCTTCTTATATGTCATATAAATATCTTCGTGTTGTCAAAGAAAACTTATACATAAATACAAAATTTGATATAAATTGATATAAAGAAGAACCAATACCATAAAATTAAAAGTTTAAACCATTAATTAATATGTAACTATGTCTGTTAGAACATTGTGTGTCCCTAAAAGGGGTTGCGGATATCATATACTTCCAAATTGGATCAATTATCCAAGGAGGTTCATTAAGGAATAAGTTATTAAAACTTTCGACACTCGCAGCTAGATAAATAACGAAGTTTAAATTCTGCGTGCAATAATATGATTACTAAAAATGTGAACATGAAAACATTTGTATGATATGAAGTGGATGTGGAGAATAAATTAATTTTGAGATTTCTTATTCAACCAGCTCTTAGTCGTACATACTTTCCTGAAATTTCCTTAAATATATTCCCACTGGTAGATAATAACATTTACCTTTCACGAAAATTATTCATGAGATAAAACTTTTTCAATTTCTTAACAAAAACCGGAAAGCATTAAAATTTTCCATTTTAAAAAATTACTCAACTGATAGTGGTTTAAAAAAGTACAAAACACCATGAAACAGTGTAAATTTTCTAATTTCAATCAAACTTTAAATTAATATTTATACATTTACACTCTTCGCAAGTTACACTTGTTACTGTTGCCAGTTTTTTTACGACATTCACTAACTTGTTTAAGATATTCATTTACATTATTTACACTTAGTCCAGATTGACTCGCTATTCCAAACGTTTGTAATAAACATTGCGGATACGCACTTTTATTCCCCTTTGTTAATGCTTGACATCTTTTTTGGGCTGCTTGAAGTTCTTGAGGTGTAATTTCCTTTAAAACATGATACAATTCACATTTATACATGGTAAAAGGTATTTATATTAATGACATCAATTTACTTACGCCTCCACGGTGTTGACAAAGCACGGGAACAATTATTAAAAATAATAAAAACAGGAACATTTTAAAATCTGTTTGAACTGTTTAATGCGTTGGAATACCTAACCGTTTCTCAATTTAAATTGAATCGGAAGACAGCATAAATGTAAAAGATTAATGTTTTTAATTAATAATTTAATAGTCTTTTTGTTTCTTTTCAGTAGATCGAGGAAAATTTGCTAATATTGTTTGAGATTAAGAACATGTATAGTTATGGAAAATTAATTATGCCGATTAATTATTATTCATTCAAAAGTGTCTTAAATTAAAATTTTGTTGTAACCTCTATCCACTTATATTGGATTAGAATAAAATCAAAGGAAAACTTGGCAAAATGAAAATATTTGCTGTGGAGAAACTAAGTGGTGATCCAATAGATGATTTATGAATATTGTAGATATCGCTGTGATAATGCTTTTATTCTGCATAAATTTAAGTATTTCATTGGCTGAAAGGTCAATAATTATTACTAACTACAATGTTTATCACTAGACAAGATGTGGATGAACTAAAGTGAAAGAAAAATTAAACTAAGTTACGAAGCATTATGGACACCAACAATCAACTCATTCAGAGAGGCAATAAACGAGGAAGATGGTGCTTGTCAAGAATTTTCCAGTATATTCAATTACCATATGTAATCAAGCCAAGCAGATTTTTGAAAAACTGAAGGAACAAGCTGGTGACGATGCAGCAGAAAAATCTGCACCAAGAACCAATTCATTCGGAGATTCAATAAACGAGGAAGGTAGTAGTTGTCAAGAAATGTTCAGTAGACCAGAATAGCATATGCAAACTAGACACATTTAAAAAAATTAAAGGAACATACTGGGGAAGATGCAAAAGATGAAACGTTAAAAAAAAACTAGCTATGGTTAGTTTTACTATTTTAAAGAAAGATACGACTGGCAGAATGTTGCGCAGAGTGGAGAAGCAGCAAGTGCTGATAAAGTCGTTACGCTTCGATTGCTTTTCCTGACATATTGAAAAAAATGATAGCGCAAAGAGGTCGAGGGAGACTAAAACGGAGATTTCTTAACGATGTGGAAGTAGATCTAAACCTTATGGGAATAAGAGCATGGAGAAAGAGAGCGGGATAAGGAAGACTGGGAGTATATTCTGAAGCAGGCCAAGCTTCACCTAGAGCTGTAAAGCCAATTAAGAAACAACCGGAAAAAGCCCTAACCATCGCAAAATTGACAGAAGCGCTTATTTGCATACAAAAAGGTATAAAATTTTAAGAAGTAACAGATAGTAATGAAGCAACCATGATGACAGTAAACAGAAGAATAGAACAATCGTTTATATACTATTAAATCCTACAAAACCGTTAAATTTAAATGATTAAATCTAAATAAATTGCTCCATGATTCTTCAGTTAAACAAAATATTAACATTTTGTTGTTCTGTTTCATAAATAAATACGGTTTAATATATGCCCACCTGGTGTAGTATATAAATTTTGCTCCAATCCTAATTATTACGTAAATTCGGGGTATAAAGAATAAACAAAAGAATTTTCAAAAACAAAAGTTCCTGAAATGGAACTGGCCTTATTGTAATAATAGAGATATAACACAGATATAATATTAATATAAATATAATAATGCAAACTATTTCAGCTCTACCAAAGATTACGAATTTTTCATTTAGTAAACTTTTATCATTTCCGTTTAATTAATTATTTTTGTAAAAACAAAACAGTTTTATAAAATGTAATAAAAACGATATCATTACAGAACAAAATGGGAACAATAATGGGATAAATGCACACACTACATTATAACTGGGTATTATTGTGTAACTGGCTGTAATAAAAATAAACGTTGAATTGTTCAAAGAGACAATAATGACCATAATCTTGATAAATAGGTTTGTGGTACACGGCCATTAATAATAGAGATAACAAAACTTCACATTGAATTAATTTTACTGTATCATAATAGAGTGTGAATTCAATGTTAGTAAATAAAACAAGAATCTTAAAACACGAACAATAAAAAAAAATAATAAAACTAGTTAGTATTTCGAATAATGTATGACAATTTGTGCGAGGATGGATTGCTTCATACGTAGTTAATGCCACCAATGTACAATAAGACATATTTCACTTTCATTGATTTACAGAGATTTATAAATTTTGTAATAGCCACAAATTTATATATAAACTTTTTAATAGTACCGTTGAGAATCTATAACTGTATAACTTTCATAAAAAGCGTAAACGGGTATTACAGACACATCACAAATTTATTGGTTTTGGCACACGTATTTTTCAGACACAGAACGTGTATGGAACTTGAAATGATGTTAACTGAGTTATGAGAAATGAATTTCTGAACGATAAAATAATCTGTTTTCAGTCAACTATGAAATCCTGGTTTAGTGGTTGGGTCAAGTTTTGAGGGGGAAACTGAATCCACATTTTAGAGCTTTAATAAATATAAATAAATAAATTAAACTTTGTCAAAATTATTTGTTTTTCTTTTTTTGTTTTTAAATTTCCAAGTTTGAATTATGAAACTTTCATCATTAAGCTCCCCATATATTGAAGAGGCTTACTAAAGTACGTTTCAATGTACAAGTCATAAAATTGAATTACGGCTTTACTAAATGGACCAAAACTTGTACAAGTTGAATCGGTGAAAATTTTACCACATCTTTGTACAACCTAACTTAACTCCCCACTCTATTGGCAAGCTTCAACTCGTCCTTTGGAGGAACTAATAAAATAATTTGATTATAGTTACAAGGGAAATGCAGATTGTCACATCGTAATTAGATTTGTTTACAGCATCACTACAACGAATTTGAATAACCCTCTATTTTTAATTAATATCATTCAATTTATTATTAATTTAGTATAATAAAAATTTATATTACCTGAAAAGTGAATCCGGACGCTTCAATTTTCTCGATACGCGAAAGCTCTCTACTTGCGGTTCACTATGCTCATGACGTCACCAACACGTTCAGCGCGCTACTGTTGAAAGTTTAGGAGGAGCTTTGCGTGAAAGTTCGGTAGTAAGCGCGCGTTTGCGCTTTCGAAAGTTCCACGGCGCATGAAACACGTGCTATTCGAAATGAGGTTACCGGGAATGTAGGGCTTTATATTTGCTAAGAAGGGTCGCCCTTAGTTACGAAACATCTCACCGACAGTAGATTATTGTCCACTTTCACTTCACTTGAGGTACGTGCTTATTCGCGCACGGTTACTTTTTCAGGACAACAGGATGCTGGTGACATGGGAGCTTTATTACAAAACTGAAAACATTCTTTTTTAACCGTACTTTTGATTAATGTTTTCTTTAAAAATAATGAATTATCACTTATTTTTTTAAGAGTCGGAAACTTTGAGATCGTCGAATATATTATTTTTTTATAATATACAATGGAGAACAATAAAAACAATGTAACATTCAGATTGTATTTAGTTATTTTGTCGTGTGGTGGTAATTTTCAACCTCGTAAAAATGGGAACTGGTCTGGAACCCAGAATTGTTTTTGTAGCTTATTTTTGGGACTTTCTGGAACATTAATCAATCGACCGTATAATATTATAGGTGTTTTAGGTACGGGTGCTTCTCGTACTATCGCAAGTTGTAGTTCGGGTTACTAATGGTGATAGTTGTAGGAATATGGGATTCGTGTTTGTGTTTCAGAGATACATTGTACATAGTGAATCAGTGATAGTACACCACTCATACTGTTTACATTATTTTAGTGGGTGATAGATGGCAACAGAGTTTGCTTATAGAGTTCGTGGTTTGTGTTAGCTAATATTTTTACGTTTCAAAAAACAGTTTGGAATTGATGAACACGTCCTAATATACAACATATCTACACAATCTAGCGATGTAAGATTAACTTGGCCCAAGATAAGCTGTGCGGAATATTCAATGATTTTGACCGATTCCTTAATTTTTATATTTGCATGAGGTTATTAAAAAAATATGTCTACTTCAACTGGAAGTTTCCCCCCTGAAAAGAATTCTTCTAATGAATGTGCAGTTTTTAAGTTCAGAAGATAGCGAGACTCCAGTCGTAACCAATTGACTTTCGCCTTTCTTTAAAAGAACTGATACCTCACCCAAAGGAAATATTTTAGGGTTACCTGGTGTTCGCTACATTTCCTGTTTTTGATTGTTTTATTTTTATGAACTGCATAATTAAGCAACTTACCTGATTTATGCATAAAATTACTTTCTCAGGAAGATTTAAAAACAATCAGTCATTTTTATTAAAAACCTTGAAAAGATTATGTGATCGTCACATAACCAATCAAGTTTCCTACACCCACAACAAGTCCACCCACTGCTTTCCAGTCTGTAACTAGCTTTATTAGGAAGGCATCGAACTCTAATGAGACTGCTGTAGAAGCTTTCATAGATTTACCAAAAGAGCCTTTGATAAGATGATCTTCATAAGGATTAATGAGGAAATAGTAGTTCCTATTATCCTCTGTGGCTGACAATTCCATCTCTAAATGGGTGATGACAAAAGCTTTTATCATCCAAAAAAAATATCTTCAATGCAATATAGTTTGCAAGTACAATTCTGAATGGGGAAGAGTAGATATATGGAAGACATTAAATTCTTGCCAATTTGTTTCGAGCTGCTCTAAACGGCTTTACGTATTACCGCGAGTGAACTTAAGGAGCGGAAGTTTCTTTATATTGCTGATGGTTCGTGAGATAAATCCGAAAAGTTCTTGTCTTTCGATAACCTTATGCAGTTCATGCCCGCACTCTACAAGCATTTTGTATCTAATCGTTACTAAACGTGCTTATGAAATGAAAATACAACCACATTAATTCAGAATCCTTTAATATTAACATTAAGAAAAAGTCATAAAATAATACAAACATTACATCCTTATACATTTAAAAGATTTGGATTTCTCAATTCTTTTTTTGTGGAGGTATAAAGGAGAAAGGTTTGAATACACTTAATTAATTACAGTAATTAATTTCGTGCTAATTCTAGAACAAAGTAAAAGAAAAGAAGAAAGGGAATTAGATAAATGGTTTCAAAAAGGGATTCAGTTTCATTGTAGGACAACGTTCACTTTAAGGGTTAGGGTGGCGAGAAAATTTATAGTCTTGTCTTAAATGTTATGGTTCTCTAAGGCATAGAAAAAAGGTGTATACAAGTAATGATCCAAATAAGATATCCTTTTGATTCTTATTTTATTTTCATTGCGGTGCAAATAAAATAAATTATTTAGAAAGAAATCTATAAAAACATCCAAAAACCTAAGTACAGTTTTACCGTCAGTTCGTATTACTCGTATCCTGTATGAAATAAGTTTGAATTTTTAAAACTTTCCCGGCGCCGTTGGTCAATTTTCTTGCTATCTCTAATACTTATGTATTGGCGGAGACTTATTTACGTCTGAAGGAAAGTGAAAAGTTGTCGGATGTTTATGTGAGTTCCCGCTAAAAGAAAAACTGTTTCCCAACTAGTTTATTGGCATTCCACGCAAGACGTTATTGGGGCGGAAAATAAGGAGTGTCTATCTCTTTTTGTAACGATCGTAGCAGGATCTCAAATCTTTTGCTCCATTGTGCCGAAGTATATTTGAACTATGACTCTTCAAAGCCTCTCTAGTTTGGAAAAGTTTATCCTTGCATAACGTCTGATCGAAACTTTTAAAGTTATTGTGGAAAGATGCGTCATCTGGCAGCAACGATGTCTTTTTAATAAAAACCTTATGTTCTTTTATTGAAACAAGAAACTTTTAAATGAAAGAAAAATATATACTAAAATTCAATTACTTTAAAAACATACAAAAACAAGTTTAATGAACTACAAGAGAAACATATTTACATTTTCACCCTCATCGGTAAGCAAGAATTTCAAGGGAAAATTACGGAAGGGTTGGAAAGGAAATTGCTTTACCTTTATAATTAAAGGGTATATGTTAATGGGGTTTTAAGTGTATATATTTAAGAAAACGACATTGTTTACTATGATAATAAATCTAAAGATTTATCACATCCGGAAATAGTGTAATAACGAAATTAGGAAGGTACGCAATAAAAATTCGTGAAAATCACAAGGGAAATAACCAGAATGAAGGCATTGACACGGACGAAAAGTATTTAAACATCTAAGAATTAAGTTTTGTGATTACTAAGGAAGTTTAGTCATAAAACTGTCATAAACTTGGCACTGTAGAAACGAATGCACAAAAGTTTTTCCTTATTGTAAGTTATGATCCCTGACAGCTGTTATCATAAACACGTAAACTCGAAAATTTTCGTTTTTGTAGCTGTTGTTTTCTTTTTTATTTCATTCAAACACTTTTGGTTATAACACTTTTATTTTGAAGAAATCGTATATAATATTGCAATAACATTATGGTTATAATAATAACTTTATTTCCTTTTTGCTATCGTAAATAAGTTTCTTATAACTCGTAAAACTTTCATGAAAATTACGTTAGAAATTTCATATTATTCTAGGAAACGATCGATCTGAAACTGTTCATGGTTTATCCCTTTAATCAGAGATGGCGATGCTGTGATAAATTTCACTGATTTTCTTGATTTTTAAGTGATTCTTGCAATAATTTTGTATAATTTTACAATTTTTTTATCTTATAATAATAATTTGAGTGTGAATGATTCAACGTAAAAAATTTCAACGATTAACAAGTCTTTAATTAATTTAAAACGAAAAGTTACCCATACTGAATAATTAATTAGTGATGAAGATATCTGAATTCACAAATAATTTATAATTTGATACTATGTGGTTTAGTCCATTACTAAAAGCGCTGTAATAATCTTCCCTTCGCCTCCAACAATCTACCATTTCATTAACATATTTGTTTCACCCTCTAATTAGTGAACACATTTAGGTATTAATTACGTGTTAGTGCGCGCTAAAATTAGTTATTCGACAGTTAGAAATGTGCACTGGCAGTATGCAACCGAATAATTGAATATAGGAAAATTGAGTTATGCATGGTTAGGTCGAACTGTTGTGGCAACTTCAAATGTGGAAGCTGACTTTGTTTGCCACCGTTTATATTCTATTAGGGTTGTTAGCTAAACTGGAATGAATGCACACTTTAATTAATATATTATACGAAGTGAGAATGATTTCATAATTTGACGTTAATTTTTAAAATCAATTTCTAATAAAACTAATTATATGTGAAAGTACTTTATTTATAAATAGAAGAATTTTAAATTGCTTAACAAAATTGTTCCCCGACTAAATAAAGGACTGCAAATATGGAGGTCGGAACGTTTTAAATTTAAAGTGGTCGTATCCCAAAGGAGGTTCCCGTCTAATGACACCTCGAGCACGTGACATAATAGCCCCCGACATGAAACGGACTGACATACCTATGACGCGACGTGTGGAAGCTAAATTTGCGGAATACTCCACCCCCTCATTTTCTGAGAGCGTGAGCAGATCGTATAGTGAGGGCGTTATTATTCCTTTCCTCTCGCAAAAGCCTCTTCCTTACTATTCTACGTCATTATCTAAATTACTTTGCCAATATCGTACGCAAACTACTTTTATCTTGATGTGCTCCTATAGTATTTTGATTTTAAACGTTCCTGTATATATTTTTGTACAGTCTACTTTTAACCTTCCTTTTCTACTCCCTCCATGTATTCACCATGTCAAAAGCGGCTTTCAACTCAATGAAAAAGATATAAACATTTCCTGCGTTCCGATTCAACTGCACGTCTACCAAATGTATCAGCACATATTCATTCATTATCTAAATCCCTTTTTTCTTTGTCTGTCTAGAATTTTATTTTTTATCAGGTGTTTATAGCCATAGTAGTAAACAGTTTTAATGACTCTCTCTGATTTCTGACAGTTGCCTTCAATCCAATTAACGTTGCATTAATTGTAGCATATTGTTTCTATTTATTTTATCAAAGGTCGTTTTGAAATCAATGTAAATGCTAGATAAGTCTACGTTATATTCGAAGAATTTTTCTTGTATGTTTCGC